TCTCTGACGCTGTCTCTCCAGTAAGTGAGCACACATACCCTAAAGCAAAAATCTCTAAAAAAAAAAAAAAATTAAAATTAAAAACGCTCTCAGATACCTGTTTTCAAAATACATTTTTGTATTTCTATATTGTTTTTATCCCTGCTTAATAAAAGCCACAAGTATGCATGCAGCAAACATACTTAACGTGCGAGTACTCACGAGTGTGCTGCAGCAGCCAGCAGAACCCCTCGCGCGCACACACACACACACACACACACACACCCCACACACACCCCCACACACACACACACCCCCCCACACCCACACCCACACACACACACACACACCCACCCTCACACACCCCTCCCCACACACACACCCACACACACACACACACACACACACACACACACCCACACACACACACACCCTCACACACACACACACACATCCTCACACACACACACACACACACACCCTCACCCACACACACACACCCTCACACACCCACACACCCTCACACACCCACACACACACACACACACACCCTCACACACCAGCCAGTGGCCGAGCCTTCTCCTGGCATTTACTTGAAATCTACTCCATTGTCCTCGCAAGGGCAAAGCTTTCGGAAGCCCACTCTGGCCCACACATTCTTGTCAAGGGAAACGAGTAAGAGGCACCCAGAAGAACTGTGTAATACTAAAGGCTCAACAGAAGGTATGTCAGAGCCCAGCAATGAAAACACGGCACTCCCCGGAGGTCCTTCTGAGCCCCGGCCGGTACCGTCCCGTAGGGAACAGTTCATACGGACGTTCTCGGATCCCTTCCCTTCTCTCCCTCAAGGAGCTCTCGCGGGCTGAACAACTCCTGCCGGCTCGCAGAAGCCAGAGGAGATGGCTGAGGACAGCCTGAGGCCACGAAGGGGCTGGGCTCACACGGGAACAGCGGCTGGGAACAGGCACACGCCTGCAGAGCTGCTGTGGGTTCCCCACAGGCCTACACGGAGTGAAGGAGTCTGGCTACGCGTTCCCAACATGGCCTGGCTGCCGCAAAGCCACGTTCCAGCGACAGCACCTGCCACCCATGTAGAGAGAGCTTCCTGCCGTCATAACCTACAGTGTAAACCACGGCCACCCCTCGCAGTGCTGATGGGCTCAGAAGAGACTTGGAACGAAACAAAATACGAGCTCTGGTTAGGTCTGGTTTGAGCGAATGAGCTCTGAAGTGTCCCAGTGACAACTGGGCATAAGAGGGCTCCCTGGCCTTGCCCCAGCTGGGTTTGAGGGAAACTTAGACACTGTAGCAAACTTTCACTCCGCACACTAGAATTCTCATTAAAAAGGAATTACACAAAACCAAAAAGTGGCAAACTGCCCATCTGCACGCAGGTACTGAGTCACTTTAAATCTCCCGTGTCTGGGCCAGGCCGGGGCTGAGGAGGAAGCCCGCTGGGAAAACCGCGCCTCCCCCTTCCTGTCCTCCCACCGTCCCCTGCACCACGAGGGTGGGGTAAGCAGCAGAGCTCTGCTAGCCTGGCTGAGGCACACTCTGATGTGTTCACACCGAGTTTCGCCCTAACTGTATGCTGATAAATAAAAAACCCTATAGAAAAGAATAGTGATTTCAAGGTCCGATTTATTGAGGCTCAAAGGGCAAAAGATATGTTCGTGCAAAAGTAAGTTACTGTAAAGCTGTGTGAGCTTTGCAGTAAGAGGAGACAAAGCCTTTGCCACTGGCTGTTGATGTCTACTGAGAGAAAAGTACCATTGTCGGGGCGGGCACGCAGGTCGGCGATGTAAGGACTTACACAGTGATTTTCCTGGGTACAGCTTAGCCTGGGGGTAACCGGGGATCATTTTTTCATCTCTAGCTCTGAGGTTTTCCAGTTCATGTTTGATGATGAACTGACATTCGGCCATGGTGAGGAAATCATCGTTGTTATCTAAAACAGCAAAGATGCCCGATTATTTTTCGGTAATATTAAAACTAAGTATTGGCCCCTAATTATCAGATACTACAAATAATGCTGTAAATACTACGTGACGCCTAAGAGAGTAACGAAATGATAAATCAGTAAATATCAACAGAGCTGAGGCCTTAGACGCTGGCCCCACCAGCCCTTCGAGCAGCTGGCCCACTCGTGCCACCTCACTTCAGGTGCTCAACTCTGAGTCACCGGGCCGCGTGGAACTGACACGTGTGGCTGGATCCAGGTCGCCTCCTTCAAACACTCAAGCTCTTCCACTCTTCTGGGGTCGCAACCATCCCAGAAAAGGAGGAAGCCTGGTGAGAAAATGGTCACTCTTGGAGAAGACTCCTGGAATGAGGTCGGCGTCACCTGGCCACTGACTCGCTCAGGCAGGACGTCGGAGTGCATGGGTTTAGAGGCCCACCACCTCCTCACCTGCGAGAGCTCCGTGAGGGGCCAGCCGCTCCTGAACGTAGCCCCCTCCAGGTACCATGGCTGCCCGGGCTGTGCCAGCTCTTTCCAGAACTCTCCTGGAACCCGGAACCAGTCACCCAGTAGAAACCAGCAAATTCAAGAGCGGCGGTCTCTAGGGTACCGCGAACTCAAGCGTGGAGGTCTCTAGGGTACCCCGAATTCAAGCGTGGAGGTCTCTAGGGTACCCCGAATTCAAGCGCGGAGGTCTCTAGGGTACCCCGAATTCAAGCGCGGAGGTCTCTAGGGCACCCCGAATTCAAGAGCGGCGGTCTCTAGGGTACCCCGAATTCAAGCGCGGAGGTCTCTAGGGTACCCCGAATTCAAGCGCGGAGGTCTCTAGGGTACCCCGAATTCAAGCGCGGAGGTCTCTAGGGTACCCCGAATTCAAGCGTGGAGGTCTCTAGGGTACCGCAAATTCAAGAACGGTGGTCTCTAGGGTACCCCGAATTCAAGAGCAGAGGTCTCTAGGGTACCCTGAATTCAAGCGCGGAGGTCTCTAGGGTACCGCGAATTCAAGCGCGGAGGTCTCTAGGGTACCGCGAATTCAAGCGCGGAGGTCTCTAGGGTACCGCGAATTCAAGCGCGGAGGTCTCTAGGGTACCGCGAATTCAAGCGCGGAGGTCTCTAGGGTACCGCGAATTCAAGCGCGGAGGTCTCTAGGGTACCGCGAATTCAATAATTCAAGCACGGTGGTCTCTAGGGTACCGCAAATTCAAGAGCGGCAGTCTCTAGGGTACCCCGAATTCAAGCGCGGAGGTCTCTAGGGTACCCCGAATTCAAGCGCGGAGGTCTCTAGGGTACCGTGCCTCCACGCTTCTTACTCTGTGGCTTTGCTCCTTGCGTCAGTGAGCGCCCACTGCTGCGAGATGAGAAAGGGCCTCTGTAAGTGAGCTGTGCGAGCCCTCTCTTCCAGGGTGGCACGGGGTGGCCCAGGGTCAAATCTGGCTGCCACAGGTTTTACAAACAGTTCCACTGGGACACAGCCTCATCATCCATTCACTTACAGCCCAAGGCTGCGTTTCTGCTCCACGCTGAGTAATTATAACAGACCGCCTGGGGAACCAGCAGTTAGCATAACGGCTATGTCGCTGGACTCCCACGTAGTTGACCGTGGTTCGCATCCTGGACCCGGTGGCTTAAAACTCACGCTGGGCGCGTGTGCGTGCGTGCCCAAGATCCCAAGAGGAGAACGGAGAAGGGATTGCGGCGTGGCCATCCCCCCTGGGGGGTGATTTCTCACTTTCTGCCTCTCTGTCTCTGTCTGTCTGGCGAGCACATGTGCCCTATAGCAAAAAAATAAATAAATAAATAAAAACAGACGCCGGTCCTGCAGTGTCGGGAGTCGGGAAGTCAGGACGGTCCTTCACGATGCAAAACTGCGTCCTGACATTTCTGACGCCCGACAGTTACCATCCGGTCTCTGCTGGAAAAATCGGCCGACTCCCGGCGAACTCAGTGAACACATGCTGGTGACCAAGACAGGACGACCGCCATGTACCATCCGGTCTCTGCTGGAAAAATCGGCCGACTCCCGGCGAACTCAGTGAACACATGCTGGTGACCAAGACAGGACGAGAACGGGGCTCACCGTGGAAGCCGCGGAAGCGCCAGCGGGTGCCGGGGGGGAGGGCCCCCATCATGGTGCCGTCGCTGCACTCCTTCACTAGCCCCACCGCCTCCGCCCCCAGCAGCAGGCGGAGGTTGGAGGCACCGACGAGGTACAGGTTCTGATGTTCGAGGCTTTCCTCCTCATATTTACTCAGCAATGGTCTAATTAACAACTGGGCACCTTCGAAGACAAAAGACACGGACGATCTTACCAAGAGACAAACATCAAAGTTTCAAAAACAACCTCCCAAATAAATGCCAGGTTTCTAGTTTGGCAGAAGAAAAGAAATTACATCTACATCCATCTTTCAAGTCAGTAACAAATACAAGGGGCCAGCCCATGGCATAGTGGTTAAGCCACCTGGATCCCACATGGCCAATGGTGCAGTTTGAGTCTCAGAGCTGGTGGTCTGAAAAACACACGGGCATGTGTATGCGCATGCCCAAACTCCCGACAGAAGTGAAGGAGAGAGGGCTACGGCATGGCCCTCCACCCGGGGGTGGTGCTTTCTCTGTCCCTCTGTCTCTCTCTGGTAAACACACACACACACACGTGTGCGCGCACACATTAAAGACGGTAGTTCTTTGTAGTTCTTTAAAATAAAAGGTCCTGCCACGCTGACACAGGCAGTGGGCTGCTGCTGAGGGGCACAGGAGCCTCTGGGGGACCAGATCTGGAACGCAGCTGGACTTGAACAGGTCACACGTGCTCACGGTGGCACCAGTGGGCGTAGCGGACCGGAAGGCAGGGGGCAATTGTGGCGTCACAAGAGTCGTGAGCCCGTCTCTGTCTCTCTCTCAGTAAATGAACTTTAAATGAACAAATGCCAAACCTGGGACTGCAGCAAGCAATGACTGGCCAGGTACTCAATGAAGGAGCAGGAGATGAAGACCCAGGGTTCTTTGGCTCTAGTTATACAGCTGCCCTGCGGGGGCCAGCAGGTGTATGACAGTGAAGGTGCTGGACTCCCGCATGGCCAACCGTGGCCTGAGCCCTGGACCCAGCAGCTTGAAAATTCCGCCAGCCACATGTGCATGTGTGCCCAAATCCCCAGGAGCAGGGACTGCCGTGACCATTCCTCCTGGAGGTGATTTCTCACTTTCCCTGTCTCTGTCTCTCTCAGATGAGCACACATACCTACCCTCTGGCAAAAAACCTAAAAAGAAAGAAAGAAAGAGAGAGAGAGAGAGAGAGAGAGAGAGAGAGGAGGGAGGGAGGAAGAAAGAAAACGAAAAACTGCACTGAGTAAAAACAGGACCCGAGCAAAAGCAGCTCTCTCTCTTCTGTTTTGGTCTTGCTGTAGGGCATGTGCACTCACCAGACAGACAGGGAAAGTGAGAAACCACCCTGGGGGAGCCAGTCCCTTGTCCATTAACCTCCTGGGATTTGGGGCACACACGCACATGCCCAGTGCCGTTTTCAAACCGCTGGGTCCAGGGTTTGAAGTGGCGATAACTGACCATGTGGGATTCAGCTGCCTCAACCACCATGCCACCAGCTGACCCTTCACTGTCATTTCAGTAAACCTGGAGTGGCCATAAAAGTGCACAAGTGCGAGGTCCACTACCTTCACCCGGAAGACCCAGCACACCTTTCCGGGAGGCTCTTTGTGACTGTCCGGGCAGTGGCCCGCCCATCCCTGTGTGTCCCTGAGGGCGGTCGGCAGAAAAGGCAGCTGGGACCACACAGGGTCCCTCGTGCCGACACACTGCCAGTGTCCACACAGGGTCCCTCGTGCCGACACACTGCCAGTGTTCTAAAATCACAGTGTTTAGGATTTCTGTATGGTTAGTTCTTGGCAATAATGTTTTATTTCACTTTTTCACTTTGATTTAAAATGCTCTTTTTTTTTTTTTTTTTTGAGAGGTTTTTGTATAGGGCACATGCACTCACCAGAAGGAAATAGAGAGACAGAGAGACAGGAAGCAAGAAATCACCCCCCGGGGGGATGGCCACGCCACAATCCCTTCTCCTCCAGGGATCTTGGGCACGCATGTACTCATGCCTGGTGTCAGTTTAAGTCACTGGGTCCGGGACTCAAACCGCGGGTGATTACGTGGGAGTTCAGCAACAGTAACCATTATGCCATCTGCTGGTCCCTTAAAATTTTACTTTTAAGAAATCACGTCTGTTTAAACATTCTTAGTCCAGCGTTTCAGAGACTTTGTAGGCAGATGCACCCCTGCTGCCCTGTGAGAAAGGGCTGACCCCTGGAGTCCTGTCATTCCTCACCCTTCCAGGAAGTCCTGCCACAGTGTCCCGTGGCCTGCCCTTGGTTTGCAGCTAACGCACGAGTGACGCATCTGTAAGCGCCACGGCCCCCTGGTCACTGCTCTCACTAACCTTCCCGGATCTGAACTTGTGGAAGCGAGCACTCAGTCCCTACTCCGCCGGTAGGATCCCGCCTGCAGAGGCAGTACAACCTCCCGCTGAGGACCCTAGCTGACCCACAGGGAGACACAACCGTCACCCGTTCATTCATTCGACAAGCTCTGACTAAGCACCTGCTGTGCACCCAGGGCTGTGCCCGGCAGTGTCGAGCTGCATGGAAAAGCACTCGTGCCACTGTGGTCTAAAGAGGACTTCAGGAGCTAGGGAAGTCGGAGTCCCTTCAAGTCCTGGACAGATAAAGAAATGAACATTCATAAAGAAAACACGTCCGTGAGACCGTAGGACACTTTGCAGACACATGGTCCATGCACGAGAGAGTCCGATGACTTCACCCACCTCCGTCTTTCTTTTTAGCAACGATTCTGCTTTTCAGCCATTCTTTCGTCTCCTCCTTGACGTCCTGAGCAAGCTCTATGACCACCAGAGGCGTGAAGGACGTCTCGTGAGCATCTAAGGTTGATAAGGTCACTTTCATCTTTGACGAACTTGCTGAAAATTAGAACAAAAAAGCAGAAATGGATCATTATGGCAAAGAGAAGTATGCTGTTCACATTTTCTCTCTCTCTTTTTTCTTTTTTTAAAGATTTTTGCTATGGGGCACATGTGTTTGCCAGAGAAAGACAGAAAGTGAGAAATCAGCCTCCGGGGGGATGGCCACGCCACAATCTCTTCTTCTCCATTCTCCTCTCGGGATCTTGGGCGTGCATGTGTATGTGCCAGGCGCGAGTTCCAAACCACCGGGTCCAGAACTCGAACTGCGGTCAACTACGTGGGAGCCCAGCAACATAGCCATTATGCCATCTGCTGGCCCCAGCATAGTTTCTCTTAATTATACCCAATTCTGGCTTCCAAACTAAAGACAAATTCTTCTGTAGGATCCATACGACAGGCTCAACCAAAGGCTCGCTGTCCTCTCCCGTAGGCGGCCAAGCACTGAGCAGGAGAGACGTCCGGGAAGGGGAGGCCACAGTGTCGAGCGGCTGTCACACAGAGAACTGAGACTGCACTCACAGAGGATGTGCTCCTGGACGGGGTACAAACTACAGACCTAACAAGTCTGCAGAGGGACATCACATGGCATTCTAAGTGGGCAAGACAGTGGATCCCTACAAAGTCATCATGAAAAACAGCCTGTGGGCGCAAAGAATCAGCGTTTGGCCGCGGTGGGAGCGGTAACTCCGTGTGGGGGAGAGGGACGGAGTGAACTGGGGTCCAGCTGGGGACCACGAGTACAAAGGAAACCAACGCACCGTGGGAGTCACTGACCAACGCTGAGCAGGGGACTGAGGCAGTGGGTCTGAGTGCAGTCTGGGGCTCCTGCAGACCACAGAGCGTCAGCTGTCTGCGGCAGGCATGCCGGCTAGCCATTGGATCGGCCCACAGAGGCTGGCCCTGGCCCGAATGGTGGCCTGAGAGAGCGTAGGGCAGGTCGGAGGGGAGAGCTCCTGAGGCTGAGACTGGGCTGAGCAAACGCCAAAGACGAGCGGAGAGACATCAGTGGTAACGAGTGCTCTGGCTGTAACTACACAGAACTCTGCACCCACGCCAGGCGGGCTGCTTCCGGCGAGACGTGGCATAGTGGCTTGCAGCAGACACTGTTCAAGTTACGTGGGAGAACAGGCTAGACTAATGATGACAAGCACACAGAGTACGGGCCCAGCCAGGGGGCTGAGTGGCGATGCACCTGCCTGGGGAAGCTGGAAGCCATATGGCCACTGCGGGTTCAGATCCCTTGGCTGGCCACAACCCAGGCACAGCAGGCACGCATGCAGGCACCCAGCATCCCGAAAACTGGAGGGCCAGGGAAGAGGACCATGGCGTGCTGAGGCCCTGTTGAGGAAGCTTCTCTCTACGACTCACCCGTGGAAGAAAGAAAAAACAACAAGAAATCGGGAGGATCCATCACCAGCATGCGCCCACAAAAGAAAACAGCGATAGAGTTCTGAATGAAGGAGGAAGACAGCAAGTGCAGAGGACCCAGCGCGATCCCGCCTACGAGCAGAGCACACTGCAGTGCGGGGCTCCCAACCCTCTAACCTGGAGCCTCGGGTACAGCATGCTCACTGCACGAGAGGCCCCGTGCACAGCCCTGCCACATGGCACAGTGCCCTGACGGCCCCGACAGCCCTGACAGCCCTACGCGTCGAAATCAAGAGGGACCAACCAAAGCTAGATTCCTCTGCTAAACTCACCCATGCAAGAAAATCAGTTTCCTGTGATTCAGAGCTTAAAACTAGAGAGTAAAAAGAGCCACAAAATATCCACATTCTACATGTTTTCTTCCCATCAAATACAGTCTTTATTTACATATTTAAATATTTAGCGGGCTCATGCACTTGCTGGAGAGGAGGAGAGCGGGAAAGTGAGAAGTCAGTCCTGCGAGGCGTGGTCACGAGGCAATCCCTTCTCCTCCAGTCCTCCCTCCTTTCGGGATGTTAGGCAGACGCGTGCCCGGTGTTTTTCCTCGTGTTCGGGGCCCAGGCCCCCACCTGTGCAGGCAGCCCTGAGATCCAGCCACCTTAACGGCCCCGCCAGCTGGCCATGACACTTACCTTCGAGCTGCCTACCGTACAGTTCTTACTGAAGGCGGGCTAAGACAGTCAAGATAAAATGAGAGTGAAACCGTATCACAGAATCTGCTGGCCTAAAGCAAAACTAAATGTATTGAAAATAAGCGAAATGGCCCCTAAACAAACATCAATAGCAAATGGATAAAATAATACTCGGGGACCAAAGAAGCCTGAAGCAAAAACCATGAGCAACACCAGCCCACACTGACAGTGGGCCGATGGCAGTTCTTCCCACAGGCTGCAGGGTCCGGCCACCCACACGTGGGGCTGCGGGCCACACTCACAGCACCGCACAGCACATAGCAAAAACCTCTTCCTCTAAAAAATAAAAAAACTGGAGAGGAATATTAATCTCTGAAGAGCACAGAGGCTTGGCTTCATCACCTTCAAAACGGAAACACCAAACAGCGAATACAGCAAGTGCTTTCTACAAGCCAGGCTGGGTAGTCTAAAGGTGCAAAGGTCAACGGAACCTAATCTTGCTTTTGAGGAGCCCCAAACTCAGAGCAGAAGCAGGTGTGCGTCGAAATGCGTGCTAAGAACACTGGCAGCAACCCGGGAAGGAAGACCACGAGTGAAGAGGCTTCAACACCAGGGAGGACGGCTGGTTCCAGGGACTAACACAGCACGCAGCAGAGCACACGTGGACACGGCAGAGGCCCCGGTGTGTGACACCGAGATGTCGTCCGATGTGAGTGATGTAAGGCCCACCTGAGTCTTAATCACCAGGCCATAAAACGAGCTTGCTGAACACTACACGCAGGTTTCCACTGCACACACATGTGAGCGAAATGCACAGGCCCGCTGTAAATCCCTGCTCACCGGGCCTCCCTGGAGACAGCCTATGCCTTTCCTTAAGCAAGGACACCCTTACATGGCAATACGGGACAAGCAGGTGTCTGTCCTGAAACACAGAAAGTCCTTACAAATCAACAATAGTAGAATTAAAAAAAACCTTAAATCCCAAACTTGAAAACACAACTCACAAAAGGAGAAATATGCCAACACACATTTGAGAAGATGTTCAAAGTCGAGAATAAAATAAATGCAGAGCGACAAGGTACTTTTCCCTTCTCGAATCTGCCAGAGCTCGAAGGTGGAAAGCGCCTGCCCCCTCCACCAAGGGCATGCTCCCTATGGCAAAAATTTAAAAAATAAGAATAATTTAAAAGCCCAGGTATGACCCCATATCAGAATGACACTCTCATTGCTGAGCATTTGCTATGTACAAAGCTCTGGGCATTTTCATGTAAACTAACTCGTTCACCCATGAGAAACGTGGGCGAGGGGTTAAACACTGTAGTCTGGCCCGCATCTCGTTCCAGCGAACAGGGCAGCCGGGACTCAGAGCGCAGCAGCCGCTGCGTCCACACATGCCGGGCCGCCGCGTGACAGTGGATCAAGCCTCTGAGTAAGAACTGCATGGATGACTAGCCACGGGGACTTTCCCAAATGCTTTTCCCTAGTAGGGTTTAGAATGGTTTTTATTTTCTTCTTTACATTTTATATTTAAATTTTAGTGAGTATTTTTTTAAGAATAAAAGTGGCTCTGGGGGCTGGCAGGTGGCATGGTGGTTAAGGTGCAAGGCTCCCACGGCCAACCGCAGTTCATGTCCTGCCTGGACCCGGCAGCTGGCTTTCTCACCTCCTCTCTGTCTCTGGTCAAATTCAAAAATAACATGATAAATAAATTTAAACAAATAATTCTAAAAAAAGAAAAAAGTGACCCTGTATTTATAAAATGGAATAGAAGCCCCACGTTTTCAACAGCACATGTGAAATATACACTGTGGTCAAGGGCAAAGGGTTTTAAAACTGCAATAAATGCTATTTTGCTTTGTTCCAGATGAAGCCCTCTCCACCTGCACGTGAGAAACACGCTCGCCCGGCCAGTGACGCGGACGTAGAGACAGGTAGCAGCGAGGCTCCAAAGGCGGCCCTGCGGGACTGCGCGCCCGACGGGCAGGCTCGCCTGAGCCCTAGGAGCCACGTGTGCACAAGCGTGCGGGCCCCTCCCCTGAGAGCTGCGGGGAGGGGTCCCCGTCAGCCCCCTGCAGGTGTAAGGCCCAGGCTCTGGGCAAGCCATGTGTGCACAAGTATGCAGGCCCCTCCTCCAGCCCCTCTCCTGAGAACTGCGGGGAGGGGTCCCCGTCAGCCCCCTGCAGGTGTAAGGCCCAGGCTCAGGGCAAGCTGAGGAGGGAGAAGAGCCAGGAAGGAAGAAGTCAAAGGGCTGGCGCCCAGCTGCCATCTGAGAAGTCATTTCCCAAGGACAACATGTTTGGGCTTGTGTTTGTTCAGGACCTTTTCAGGGATGTGTACTTCGGGGACCACCCACGTGTACTTCAGGGGCCGCCACGTGTACTTCGGAGGCCAGGTCACGTGTACGTCAGTGCCGCGTCACGTGTACTTCGGGGGCCGTGTCATGTGTACTTTGGAGACCAGGTCACGTGTACTTCAGGGCCGCACCACGTGTACTTCGGGGGCTGTCACGTGTACTTCGGGGGCTGTCCCACGTGTACTTTGGGGGCTGTCCCACGTGTACTTTGGGGGCCGCATCACGTGTACTTCGGGGGCTGTCCTATGTGTACTTCAGGGGCTGGCACGTGTACTTCGGG